AACATGGTTTACTAAAGCTCTGTGCTCTAAGGAGATTTCAAGCTTGTCAAGTCTTGGCTGCATAAAGAAAATAAGAAATGACAAAATGAGATCAAGTTAAGAAGCAGTGTATAGAACTGAAATGTAAAATCTGTATCAGGACTAAGAGTTTATTCCTTCTGTAGTCTCTGTGGGATGAGTGTGCTGCTGCCTCCTCATGTTGAACTCTGCAGCTCTAGCGGCTTCATACGGACAGACTTCAGCTGTTGTCTGAGCTGTACCTCTGACCCACCCCTCATTCGCACATGTGGCCTCACATTTTAACCTCCCTCCGATTCCTGCCTCCTTCAGCCTCACCAGCGTATCAACTTTACTTCCAGTGACCCCCACCAATAACACTGCTTCACTGTCTTTTAACAACCATCCCCATTACGTTAACACCACCCCTCAATGGTAACACCTTAATCCTGCCTTCATTCCAGTTCTGCGCCGCAGTGAAATATGTTTCAAATGCTGCCATAATCCTCAGAGAAGAAGAAGAAAGAGCACTCCACGCTGGAGGATCCCTCCCCTCCCCATCCTCTCCACCCCTTGTTGCTCGCGGATTCCTCATTCCCTCCTTTCATCTCTCAGGGATTATCTCCCCCAGCAGCTGGGGGTTCTGGGAAATATTAGAAAGAGGGGGTGGGTTATTCCTGAGCGCTCCAACCCGTACGCCAGATGGAGCTTCCTGCTCCTTTCTGAATTGATATCAGGTAATTACAGGTTATCACAGCTCATCTGGAGCTGCTGACCACCTCACTCCCTGACAGGAGCCCCAGAAGCAGACATACAGGTTGATTTAAACACAATTACCCCGAGCGACCAGGAGGACGGAAACAGCTGGAATCACTTGTTGACAGGTGCATGAGACATTAGAGCTCTTTATTCCACTTTTAATTAGTTTTTAGCAGCAGCAATACAGAATAAATCCATAAATTAGCTTTTTACAACTTCAATAACTTGTATAACTTTAATAAGTATGAATTTGATTAAGAGCACTTGAATGAAAACTGAGCGGCTCTTTGTAGGAACCGCAGGCTGTTCTTGTTCTCCCTGATTTTAATAATGAATCCCCTCTAAGCTGAAAAACTTTTCCTTTTTGTTTCTAAATGAGATCAGTGGCTGAGGTTTGATCTTGGTCTTATAGCCTCATTTCTGACTCCTGCTGTCAGTGCAGAGCGGGCTGGGAGGGCTCAGAGCGCTCTGTGTCGTTCTGACATGACGGTTAGTATCAGGAAACTCAACCCTAACTGTGGACCAGTTGATCTGCAGACAAGCTGAGTTACCACACAGAGTTTGGACATAATCCAGTGCCCTGATTCTTTAAACTGTCATTCCCCAAATCAACACGGATTGTTCCAGAGCAGGAAGCTGAGATGTTGGTCAGCGATGCGTTCTGAACGCTCAGAGTGGCTCCAGCAGTACCCCCCCCCTTCAGTGTCCACCATATTGGATCAGTCCATTTGCTGCACATGTTCAGAAAGGTCCAAACAGGCAGCAGCAAACCATTTGAAAACAAACGATGTGAAGAGCTGTGTTGCCTTTTTAATGGACAATAGGCCTACAGAAAAGGGGGTATGAGAGAGGGGGAGAGACATGCGGGAAAGGACCACAAGCCAGATTCAAACCCGGGTCGCCCGCATCGAGGACTAAGGCCTCCATACATGGGTGGTGTGCGCTAACCACTGTGCCACCAAAGCCGCCCCAACTTAGCTCTAGTCACTTTATTTAGCGACTTTTCAGACCCCTCTAGCACTTTTAGTTTAAAAAAGCGCCTAGCGGAAAATCTAGCGACTTTTTTCTGCTACTGGAGACTTTGGAGACAACATCTAAAAGCAGCGAACTCTGCTCTCCAGAGCAAGTAGATTGGTAACCCCGCCTCCTGCTCTCCTCTATCTTGTCTGCTGTCATGATTCATGCAGCTATTATTTCATCCAAATGAAAAATGGAGAACAGAGAAGCAGATCATGGCTTGTCTACAGTGAAAAGAAGGACTGGGTTATTTACTTTTGCCTTTTTGGAAACACAGGAAGGAGCAATCAGCTAAGTGAGCTTAGTGCTTGGAAAAAAAATCTTTCATTCCTTTAGAGAAAAGTCAGCTGAGAACAAAACATAGAGAGGAAAACAAGAAGAGAGGGACAAAACCTAGAACAAATAATGGATGTCTATTCTATTAACATTTCTCTATCTGTAGAATGGGTCTATTTTATGTGTTGTCTTCTCAGTTCACAGGCCCCCCTGCCTGTCTTTGTCTAGGGCCCCAAATTTTCTAAATCTGCCCCTGAGTGCTGGGGGAAGACGGTGACAGGGGGGTCTGTTCTGGATAGGGGGGGGCAGCAAACAGTCCCTCTTGTCCAAAGTTTGGCAACCCAAACTGCTGAAAGAGCCATATTGGACCAAAAAAACGAAAAACAAATCTGTCTTTAGCCGCAAAAATGTTAAAGTCTTCTATAAGCCTCATATGGCGACACTAAGTTTATTAGCTCACTTTAAAAAAGGACTACCTGGGCTTAAATCTATAATAAGCATTCATGATTAAATGTTTATCTAGGAGCAAATGTCACATAAAGTGACTCTGCTTTACCATATTTGATGATTTAAGTTTAAATTCCATTACAATATTAATGTATTAGGTTTGGCTGCATTGATGAAATTATAAAAACACAATAAAGAAATCAGATTTTTGGTGTTATTTTTATTTTGAGGATTCCCATCCCTGCATCAGAGTGCTACCTGTTGGATCTATGAACGGTTTTCTATGCTTGCAACCAAACTAGCAGCAGTAGTGGAGTTTAGAGATGCAACCCGCTCCTTAAATTCATCTTTGCTCTCCTCTAATTTATCCAGAAGTTCTGCAATTGCACTTTTTCTCTCCCTCCCAGCTTGGTGGTGGGCTGCATATGTAGCTTGCCTTCCCTGGAAAGGCCTTTCCTAATTTGATAACTTCTCATTAAAAGAAAACATACAAGCAATCCTTACTCATTTATAATGAAAGAAAATGATTCGCTCCATTCTTTGAATCCTCTGTTCTCTTCAGCTATCTTCCTTTTTTTCCCTTTTGGATCCATGGTCTGAGACACACCCACCACTTTGTTTACAACAGCCACCTGCCTGGCACCTCCCCACGCTGAAACCTGCTGCAGGGCTTGACAGAAATGTTTTCATTTATTGTTTAAATTTATTTATTATACTTTTTTGCAGCATTGGGAACATAATGAATCTTTTTTTACCAAAGAAAGAAAGAAAATAATCTTTTCCATTTTCATAGATTTTTGAAAAAGCTCCATGGAGCTGCAAGGGGGGCATTAAAAAGGCAAGGGTTCCATTTTAACTTAAAAAAGCTTTGTCTCGGCTGCATTTCTTTAAACCTAAGCAGTCCCTGATTGGCTGCTGTGACGTGATTTTACAGAGAAGTTCAGCTTGTTTTATCTTCACCGGTCACTTCTCTGTCTATGTGGTGCCGCTGTTTGAAGCCTCATTCCTATTGAGGTGAGGTCGGAGCACAAACCGCCGTCACCGTCCGGGTTTCACCGCTGGCCGCTCCCCCACCCTTCCCGCTGCGGTATGATTTGGGATATTAAACATAAATCCACAGCCTTTGTTCTGAACGCAACTCAATGCTAAACAGATTGGGTTTTTTTTGTTTGTTTTTTTTATTTATTGACAATGATTGTAGATCAGATTTTTTATTTTTATTTTTTTATGATAAATTAACAATAATAAATATTTAAGGTTTAAAATAAAAAATGATGCTGCTGCAGAAGAGCTAGGTTCCCAGCGGGACTTTGCAGTCGGTGTTCCAGTGAGGCTGCTCTATACGAGACCAGGCCAAGCAGGAGCAGTCATCCGGGGAGGACTCAGAGTAGAGCTGCTGCTCCTCCATATCGAGAGGAGCTAGTTGAGGTGGCTCGGGCATCTGGTTAGGATGCCTCCTGGACGTCTCCCTGGTGAGGTTTTCCAGGCACGTCCCACCAGGAGGAGGCCCAGGGGGAGACCCAGGACACCCTGGAGGGACTATGTTTCTCGGCTGGCCTGGGAGCGCCTTGGGATTCCCCTGGAGGAGCTGGACCAAGTGGTTGGGGAGAGGGACGTCTGGGCCTCCCTACTGAAGCTGCTAGATTAAAAAAACATCTGGGAATGAAGCAGTTTTTAGTTTTTATCAACTCCAGTAGGTGAAGTTTTTCAATAGCTTCTTGTTTAATGTTTAGCTTCATTAAAAACTTCAAATAGGTTTAAAAAAGAATGACATGCAGGAAAAACTCAAGTTAAAGTTTTAATAAAAACATTTGGCAGACATGAGAGATGAAATTAGGACGTTTGTTGCATCTACATGCAAGAGACGGAACAAAGGTGGAGGAATACAAGCAGCTTTAATCTGCCAACAGAACTCCTACCAGAACCTTTGGAAGCCTCCTTAATTCCAGGAACTTAAAACTCTCAGAGCAAAAAGCCGTGAGACTGAATATTTCCACCTTTTCCATTCTAAGATCTGCTCGATTTTAACTGTGCTATGTGACTGACCAATCCATCCTATTTCCTGATCCGGGTAACAATTCCTGTACAGCCCTGGAGCAACGTCATTGAAATGGCTTCGACCAACCAACTAGAGGAAGATGTTTCCAGATGATATCAGTAAATAAGAGAGGAGGAGGATCATTGGTCTGAAACTGAAGGAAGAACAGCAGAAAATGTGAGATGAAGAAAAGGTGCAGATTTTGTAGGATCAATCAGACAGCAGGAGAGACGAGAACCAAAAGGAGGAGCAGAAAGGAGCAAAGATGAACAACTAGACTTAGACTTTAAGGCCTTCAGTCTACAGGGAGTAGGGAAGGGTGAGCGCTGTGGAGAGAATGAACCAACAGAACATTTTCTAAACATTTGGTCCAATGCTAACTGGTCTGTTCTGGTGCAGCACTTTATTTTATTCACTTGTTGATTGTGTGAGAAAGACTGACCCCTCTCTCTGTGTGTGTCTGCAGTGTAAATGGATGAAAGAGGACCTGCTGCAGCAGAAGGACCAATCAGTCAGCCAGGTAAACACTTCCTGATGACTTTAACTCAACCTGCTGGACATGAAGCTGTGTTGTTCCTGTCGATCATTCATCGGTTTTTCCTCCTGCTTCTGTCATTTCTCTCATTCTTCTTTCACTGATTACGGCTTCCATCTTTCATTTAGAAACATGTCGTCTATGTTTATCATGTTTATAATGTATAAACAGACGAGAGGAAAAACTCCCTTTAAACAGGAAGAAACCTCCAGCAGAACCAGGCTCAGTGTGAGCGGCCATCTGTTGATGCCTACTGGGGTTCAAGGAGACAGAAGCAGACATAGAAAAAGAAGCATAGATACAAAAGGCAAATGTCAACCAGCTCCACAGGAAACACACAGCCAGGCAGACGGGCTCCGAGCCAGCTCCCATGTCAGAGGATGAAGAGAGCACATCCAGTTAGTCACAGTCAGAGAAACAGGACTACACTGAAAAACAGGCCAAGCTCCAACATCTAGAAACAAAGGTGTTGATGGCCAGATGAAGCTACTATGAGAAAAAGCAGAGAAAGCAGAACGTTAGAGATTGAACTAACAGATTCTGCAGAGTGGGAGAATAGAGATAGAATGATGAAAAATGGGTCCCTATGTCCTCCAGCAGTCTAAGCCTATAGCAGCAGAACTATAGCAGCAGCATAATGACTGGAGTGTGAACTTTGGGAAGGTTTAACAGATGGAATCCTAAAGCACTGCTTTGTCTCTGGTTACCATCTGCACATGGGTCACACACCAAATAATTAGATGAATTAAAAGGCAGGACTGGGTCCTCAGATGAAACCCTGACGTAGAGAAACATTTTTAATTTCTGTCCAGATAAAATCTTCAGTCCTAAAAACTTTACCAAAGACAGTGAGAATCCAGGCTGTTTTATGGATCCTTTATGTGCAGATATCTCCTACCTGCCTGCATGATCCTGGCTAACATGTTTAGCTTCCTGCTAAAACCCTGCACCTGTCTCTTTGCTTAAGGCTTAAAGCTCAAAGACTAAAACACAGTAAAGAAGAAGGAATCTCAGACAAGAAGAGAAGAATGAATCTTTTTGTGCTAACAAATGTTCTCTTGCATCTCTGCCTGCATCCTTTTTTTCCTGAAATAAATTAAATTTTGTTATTAATGTATCTCTGCTCTGTGTATCCCCCTCAAGCCTGTTAATTAGGCTGGGCTCTGGGGGGATTAGAACCGAGAGAGCATTTTAATTTCACACAGAAACATCAGCAGCTGCCGTCAAATTAGCGCCAGACACTCAGTGAGCTGCTGAAAATCCTGCAACCCGAATCACAAACCAGCGTCTCTGGATGAACGTTTAAATCAGGCCTTTGAACCGATTTTTACCGAAACTTTCCAGCTAATGAAGTAATGAAAGTTTCAGCAGCTATGCTGACATCAGAGCTCTGCTGCATGCTTTAAATGATATACACTGTAAAAATCAATCACAGGAGCACAATCTATGGAAACATTCAGGAAAATGTCTCCTTTAATTCAGAGTCATAAGGATAAATCTTCCCTGTTATGAAAGATGAAGCCACAGACCATCAACATGATGATGATGATCCTCCTCCTCAGACCCTGGAGCGATCAGATGACTTTTATTCCGGCTCATTTCAGCAGAAGAATAAAGCTTAGATCACCTAAAGGTTGTAGGACATTGGCCCCAAAGGGCCCCAGTTTGTGGCCCCTAGCAGGCTGTCGGGAAGGCATCCCACCACCTCCAGACTACGGTGACTTTAAATGAAACCAAAGGTTTATTAGTTTGTCTTTTAAAGATGACAGTGAGGTTATTAAAGGAGAAGTCCGGTCAGCAATGAATAATCAAAGGATCCTTATTTATAATACGTTTGAGTTAGAGTCTCGGAGCGGCCATTTTTGTTCTAAATATAGTAACCCCTCCCTCCTGCCATCTTC